GTCCCCACGCCCCTGAACATGCAGCACCTCGCTCAGTGGGGGCCATGATCAATAGGGGGGGGAGGGCTGGGAGCCAGGACTCCTGGGTTCTCTCCCCGGCTCTGGGAGGGGAGTGGGGCCTAGTGGTTAGAGGTCGGGGGGGGGAGGTCTGGGAGCCAGGACTCCTGGGTTTTCTCCCCGGCTCTGGAAGGGGAGTGGGGTCTGGCGGTTAGAGTGGGGGGGTGACTCCTGAGTTCTCTCTCCAGCTCAGGGTGTGGGGCCTGGTGGTTAGAGCAGGGAGGGAGGGCGTTCGGAGCCAGGTTTCTCATGACAGGAGAGAGGGTGATGAAGAGACGGATGGGAAGGTGCGGGGGGGGGGGCGGAAATTCCAGCGTCACTTTAGATCCCTTGAGCAATATGGCTCCTGGGGAAGCTGAAGTCACATGCCCACACCTGTGCCAGCCAAGACCGGCTCTACCAGCCCTGGTGGGAATTGAGAAACCTTCGCTTTGCCACGGCCCCTATTATACTCCAATACTTGTCGAAGAGTTCGGAGAAAAGGGCTCTTCTCTGAAACCTGTTACCAAGAGACAGGTGAGGGGAAGACTGAAAACTTCTGCTATTTCTAAGGTTCAAAAAATCCAATAGTAAGAAAATCTTCCTAAAAATGAACGTGTGTTATACTCCAATGCTTGGCTAATAGCTCGGAGAAAAACACTCGTTGCTAAAACCTTTCACTCAAAAACAGGCGAAGAGACGACTGAATGTTGCTGCTATTTCTCAGGTAAAAAATAAATTCACTATTCAGAAAAGCTACATCAACATTAACACGTGTTGTACTCAAATGCTTGTGATAGGTAGGAGGAAAATGCTTATTTCTAAAAACTTCTTTAATTAACCCAGTGGGTTTCAACCTTTTGTCATTTACGGACCCCTACAAAATTTCGAACGGAGCCGCGGACCCCTTTTCTGTGCACCCCTGGGAGTCCGCGGATCACAGATTCAAAACAACTGTTCTATGGTAACAACAACCTTTTGCGAACCCCTTGGACATAGTCTGCAGACCCCCAAGGGTCTGCGGAGCACAGGTTGAAAGCCACTGAATTAAACAACAGGTGAAAAGAAGAACGAATGTGCCTGCTATTTCGAAGGTAAAAATATCTAATAGGAAAAAAACTGTAAAAAATACGTATTCTACTCAAAGGCTTGGCTAACAGCTAGGAGAAAAATCTTCTTTTCTAAAATGCCTGGTTCCTTCTGGTAAAAAACAAACAGGTGACAGGGACAGTGAGTTTTGTATTACTATTTTGATGGCTAACTTAAAAAATGAAGAAGAAAACCTGTTAAAAATGAATGTTTCTACTCAAATGCTTTGGTGAAACCTCAGGGTGATGATGGCTTGTAACGTGCTAATGGCTGAATGGGGAGGGGATCTGGACATGGTGGGGTGGGGTATGTTGTAGGGAATGGTGGAGAAAGAGACTCACCAATCCTCTCTCCCGAGCTTAAAGTTCCTGTAACCACCAGGTGGGAAAACCGTCAGGGTTTGGGACCCTAGATCGCTTCCCCTGTGTTGGCAGCTTCAGGCTTCAAACATCTCACAGCACGACCACACATCCGGCAGATCCATCGAAGGGAAGGGCTGGGGGGCTGCCCCACACGCTAGCCAGGCCCTCCCATCCCCCTCCCAGCAGGGGTGCCGCGCACCTCAACGTGTCACCGCCGGGATTTCCGTTATGTCAACCTGCTTTCGCTTCATGCTCCCACCCCAGATCCCCACTCACTTGGGGGGCAAGGGGTGGAGACACCTCCATAGGGGCAGGGCCCCCAGGTTCTGGCTCCCACATTGGGGTTGGGGAGCAGACACCTCAGAGGATCAGGATCCCCTAGATCCTGGCTCCCACATGGGGGGATGGAGACACCCTCATGGGACAGGGTCCCCCAGATCCTAGCCCATGCTGGGGGGGGCAGGGAGAGAGGGTCAGACACCCCCCTAGAGCGACAAGGCTCCCCCCAAATCCCAGCTCACTTGAGGGGGCAGGGATGGGGAATCAGCCCAGATCCCATAAAGGGAGCCGGGGGGGGAGGGGTTCAGATCTGCTCTGCCCCAATTCCACATCCCCCAAATCTCACCACCCCCCTTAGACCCCCAGAAAGAATCATCCCTGGTGAGGGGTGAGGTGGAGGATGCTGGCTTCAGTGACAACCTGGCAGGCTACCAACCCTACCGGCTGCTCCGGGTGGTTGTGAAAACACCCCACTTCTCCCCACCCCGTGACTTGGCCCCGCTGGGATCCAGCCGGTCTGGGCACTCAGCGCAGGGAGGCGGGTATATAAACCCGGGGCCGTTCCCAGAGGATAAGGGAGAGGCACCCAGAGCGGGACGACGCCGGAGACCGGTAAGGATCTCTTTGGCGGGGAGCGGAGGGGACACGCCATGCCAGCCCGTGGCCTGGTGGCTCTTAGAAGTGTCTGGGCTCAGGGGGCCCCCTCCTGGGAAACGGGACAAAGATTTGGGGGTGGAGAAAGTGCCGACACCATCCTGGGCCATGTAAACAGGACTCTGGAGCAGGAGCCGAGAGGGGATTTGCCCTCAGGATTCGGCCCCGGTGCGGCCGCGGCTGGGATCCAGTTCTGGGGGCCCCCGATTCGAGGAGGGCTAGAAACCCTGACTCCGGGAGCTCGGTCCGTGTAGCGCCACAGACAGTTATGGGGAGACAGGAGCCCCCCTAGGCGTGGCTGGAAGGGGGAACAGACGTTCGCGGCCAGAGAGTTTTCCGATCCAATGGCTGGATGCGGGCGCCAGCCAAATTCAGACGGGAAGCAAGGTGTGACTGTGTAACAGGGAGGGGAATGAACCCTGGGCACACTTTACCGAGAGTCGAGGCAGAGGCCCCGAGGCCCTGGCTGTGGTTCGGTCGAGTTTGCTCGATAGGATCTGATCTCGTTGAATCAGGAATTAATTCAGGGAAGTCCTGGCACAGAGAGGTCATCAAACGACCCGATCAGGGCGGTCCCTCGGATTCTGGGAATGGCGATCGGTCAGAGATCTCCTGCTGCCCCTGGGGCCCAGGGGGCGGCTGCTGCTGGGTCCTGGTTCCAGCGACCCCCGTTTAAATCCCAAGCGACCCTGCTGAGGTCAGGGGAGTCTGGGCCGGCCCTGGCGTGAATCCGGAGCCAGCTCACTGCTGCTGGTGGTGTTTTTCTCACGTTGCGGACTCAAACCGGTTTGGCCGTCGATTCAGGACGACCAGGGTCTAGCCAGGAGGCGCTGGGCAGGTTAGCACAGGGATCTGGCTCACGCCGTAGCCGGATTGACAGGCTGCTGCGGAGGCGGGCGGGTGGGGCGGTTAATTATACTAGAAGCCGAGACGACGGGTGAGTGGGAGGAGTGCCAGCAGCACCGACCCTGGGGAAATGGCACGTCCGGGGGTGGGAGCGGATCTCCATGCGCATGGGGCCCTCCCCGGACAGCGTGTGGCGGGGTCACGCCACGATCCTGGCTCGGAGCCGGGACCCCTCATCCCAGGCGAGCCATGCGGCCACGTGCAGGAGGGGGCGCGAGAGGTCTGAGCCTGGCCTGGTGAGAGCCCCGGACTCCAGCCCGGCCGGGGATTGGCGAGGCAGGCAGGAGCGACTCTGGCCCCGGCGCTGCCTGACCACTGGCCCCGGTGTTCTCCCCCCTCCCCCCAGGCACAGGTGAGCCCGCGATGTGCAACCAGTGCAAGTGCTTCTGCCTCCTCGTGCAATGGATGTGGCACGTCATCAAGCGGCTGTGCAGGAGGAAGAAAGGTACCGC